AGGTCATCTAACCCGTGCTTCTCGTAGCTCATAAATGCACCTAATGCTCCCAGAAACCCTTCATGTCGCAAAAACATTGCTTGTGCAGCCCCATTAGACCTGAATGACAAAATATATACATCCTGACACAATATATCAATTAAATCAAGAGCAAACATATAAAATATTTTGCTATATTAAATCATTAGGCAAATTATGTACCAGAAATGAATTGCAAAAGAAATAGCATCCATGGTATAGGCATGACCCCTTATAAAAAATCCTCCAAAAAATATTCGCTTCAACCCAAATCGCAATGCATTTAAGTAGGATATCTACACAGAAGAGACAAAAAGAACACAGTTTGGTCAGCTAAACAATGACAGAACAAAAATGTCCTAATAATGCCAGAAAGCATGATCTAGAACTAGTGTCGTTCATCATCCTCATTATTAGGTATGGTCTCTATTCAACATGTCTTTCCTCTTAGCAGGTGGGTTAAAAGAACTTTTTTTCTGGAAAATATTTCTTAAAAAAGAACATATTTCAAAATCAGCATGTTATCATTTAAGGTTTAACCAAATTACAGTTTTGCGGTTTCTGAAAAACTAATGAAAACTTTTTAACGTAAAATGAATAGCAATTTTAGAACATAGTAAAATTTTTTTAAGTTCTTTTGTGGAGAAACACTGTAAAAGATACATGCTTTCAGTCAGTAGGACCGGCCATTTTAAATTGATATTTAACAATGTTCAATTACGTAAACACAAAGAATTACATATTGTCTACGCTTCTAATTTATCCAAAAAGTACTCAAGAGTAAAATAACAAACTTATAAACATGAATAAGCTGACTTAAACAGTAAAAACATTAGCCCAAAGGTATCACAAATTGCATGCACTTTTCAAGGTTGAAGTTATTGCTGTACAAAAGATAAAATTAATTACAATTGTAAGCTCACCTGCGCAATATTGTATGATATCATTCGCAGAAGAGAGAGTGATATATCTTCAGGTCTGTAATCTTCAAGTCCCTTCTTTTCTGAGGTAGCCTTGCCAAAACTTGAAGCAATAGTGGAAGCCGATAGGCCAATCTAGGGTTATTTAATACCAGTAAATGCTGAGTTGTGATTGATAAAAAATAATATCAAATGATTCATATCAATATAATCCAGAAATTAAGTAAATTTAGACTATTTTTTTTTTTTCGGATAAATATCATTATGGCAATGATCAACTGCAAAATATACCTTAGAATAGTCCATGCCACCATAAATGTCCCCAACAAGCATGTCAGTATTTCTATTATCTCCTTTCTGACTCAACTCAAGTAATTCATCAAAGCTGGAACTCATTTTAAGAAACCCTTTGGTAATAGTTCAAATACAGAAGAAGATAAAGGGAAAAAAACTGGAGAATTATCAGAAAAATTACCTCTCACACTTTGTTAACAGCCTTCCCAAGCCCCAATATGTACCTCCTCCAACATTAGTCCCACTGACCCTCTCAAATTTTCCATCCCCATCAACCTGTTCTAACCCAGATTAAAATAATAGATTACCACCAGTTTGTCTTTATAAAACACAAATCAAAGAGATCAGCAATTTAGTTAAACAAAATGAGGAATAAAACAAATATACCTTGATCATACTAACACCAGATCCAATATTAACTAGAAGATAAGGAAACAAATCATTAGGGTCAATTTGAACAAACTCTTTCTGGCCCTCCATGTGTGTAAAAGCTTCATGACGAATCGCCTACTAAGAAGTGATACAACATCTGATAAGTAATTATCAATATAAGTCAGGAAGAAAGAATTAATGGCCCAGTCACATGCTCCAAAGCAAAGATATTGTTTTATTTTAACAGAGAAGAGCTAAAATAGATCTCAAACGCAGAATATAGAGTTGTAAGCTGCAGCTATATAAAAATCATGTGAAGAATTAGACTTTACTTTAATTTTCCTTCAACTAATTCACCAATAAAAGATGCATCAATGAGCGTGAATAAACTTTAAATAATGGTTTTCTCAAACTCTGGTGAAGTGATACAATGCCAATCTTGTCAAAATAAAAATAAAAAAAAAAATAAAAAACTTTCTACTTCGAATATTTATCAAAATAAATAATGAGTAACTATTTGCACTGGTCTTATCCTTAAGATAACTATCATGCAAGGAAAGTAATTTATTCATGAGATATACACTTGACTTGCAAATACATTTCAACTCACAAGATGATCTTGTCAATCTTAATAAAAACAAAAAGGCAAGAGAAACAGACAATTCCAGTAGTTGGTCCACCTTCAGCAAGAAATTTGCCCCTGCTACAAGACAGCTCATTTCATCTTCTTTGTCGAGACTAAGTCCAAGTCTTTCTTTGAAAAGGTCAGCATATTTGTGTGCTCCACCACCAGTAGCCTTTGTCACAAAGATGAATCCATTAATGGAGTAGTTCAATGCCATTAACACCAAACAAGCACTAACGAATGACGCAATTATAACCACAGGTCTTTTAAAATAGTGTTACAAACAGTACCAGCAACATGTGAAACAAATGGAAAAATCTTCGAAGTTCCTTATTATTACAAAAGGGTAGAGAGACTCAGCTGATTATCATTTTCTCAACAACTATTTTTAACATGTGATAAGCAGGATATGGATTGTGGCCGTTGTGCATGCAAGCATAAACTAAAATTAAACAACTTGCATTTGGAGATTTGCAATGTCCCTTTAACACAAGAAAAAAAAAGACCCAACTTCTGAAAATGTAAAATTAGTCAGAGAATCTAATTTACCTTTATTATGGCATTTGATTCAGTTGATCCATCAGAATAACGTGATTCCCCTCCTGTAAACAATAAAAAGTCAATAATCTTGACTTCATTTAGTTCTGAGAGCCATAGAACTAACACATAAGAAACAACAAAATTACAAGATGATATTCAAGCTCAAAACATGCAGTACTGATTTAGCAATCAAATGAGGTAGAGAAGAGACAGATTAAACATAAAAGAAGTAAATTGAATAAGATAGTAATACCACCGAAGTGAAGCTTCTTTGAATTAATGAAGTCTAAACACTCGTTAATCTTGCTAGTCTCAAACTTCACAAAATGAAGCCTTCCTCCAAGAATAGGATAGCTTCTCCTGTTACCATTGGGAAATCCCAGTCGATTCTTCACATTTCTCATCCTTTTATCATTGGTTGATTGATCTTGGTGTCTTGAAAAGTACACCAACTTTATAAGAGATCCTGCCCATATAATTTCAATAACAATAAGTTCCAGCCATATTTCAAATTCTACCAACCTTTTTCTCTGAAATTAACAGGCAATTTAAGATTCATACGTCATTGAGAGGAGAAACTACCATTGTAGCGTTCAATCACTACAGATGGCAAAGCTCTGCTCCAACAATTTAGAATTCAAACTTGAAACCATTGATTAAAGGCGCTCTCAGGTTACTTTTAAGTTGAAAGAGAAGGTCCGGCATAAATTATAATTATTTTTCATGAGTTTCAGAACCCCAAAAATTTTACAAAACTGGGCATACAACACAGTAAGCATTCGACAAATAAAAGAAAGGTTGAAGCCATTATCATCATGCTTCCACCACCATCCATCACTTAGCATCAAATATTACTAAAACGAAATTAGGAACAAATTCTAAAAAAGAAACGAGAAACACGAAGTATGAATCTAAACAAATTACACCTCCAATGTCAAGAGCGAGGTGCGATATATCATGAGACTGATTGGGTAACAAAATAGTTGGATACTTCTCTTCGACGTTTCCTTGAATTTCTGCTTTGCTGAGATCCAACAACTGAGGCCGCGAACTCGACCTGTTCATTGAACTGCTACCTGTGTGCGCCATCTCTCTCAGAGTCTCAGTTTCAACCACAACTCCAATATTTTTTCAGCTCATGAAATGCACGGAACCCACCTTTAATAGAGGATCCATTCCTCTTGACCAAGGTATGAAATCAACCACAACCTCCTTAACCCCACCAACTCACTACCTCATTTACAAGCTTACGTGGTCGACGCTCCACTGGATTAACAAACGTAATTTCCACCCTGCCATGTTTCTGGTAAAAAACAAATTTTACACAAGTCAAACCGCCTACTTTCACAGATAGTAAAAATCTCTGGTTCGATGGAGTATGAAACGTGCTTTCTAAATTTTGCTTAAGTCTTATTGGCCTTTTGTGACAAATGCAAAACACTAGCATCAAAACCCAGGTTAATAATTGTTTTGTGTCCTACGGGATTTGGATTTTTTATATTGTTTTTAGGTCAGCATGGGCGGGAGTTGGATTTTGGAAAAGATAAAGGAGTGAAGAAAAAATTGTCATTTTTAATATATTTAGTTTTGGGTTGTGGAAGAGAAAAAGGAATGCAAAAGAAATTTCTAATATATTTATCTTTAGGAATTTTTTATTTAAAGTATAACTTTTTAAATGCGCTCCTTTATAGAGAAAATGAAATGTGAAAAGTTAGTAGTGAAAAAAAAAAATTCTTCTTCGTAATTAAGAAAATTGCAAAAAAATGTTATTTAATATATAAATATATATATGAATGAAAAAAAGTAAAAATATAAAAAAATATTATTTAATTAAATTATCTTTACTCAAATAGAATAAATGATTATCTGTTTTTATATTTCTAATTGTAATATATATTAATTTTTAATTATACTATTTTAATATAATGTTATATATATAATTGATTATAGAAATCAAATAAATAAGTTAATATATTTTATACGTTTTAATATAATATTATTTTATTAATTTAAATGTTTGAAAATATTTATAATTTAATAATAACAAATTTATATTGTCAAAATATATATTATTATACAAAATATAAGATATTAATTTAAATATCTTAATTTAAAAAGTTGTTTTTATTAGTAATACAAATTATTGATTATATAAATAAATTTATAATTAAATAAAAAATATATTATTTTTTTTAATTTTTTTAATGTTACTAGAACTAAAACCTTAAAGAATGGGGTTGATTGATAGTATGTATTATTTTTCTACTGTTTTACGGGTTTGACCGATGAGATAAGCAATATGCTTTCTATTATATTGTCATGGTACATATCAGCTTCTGGGACAAATAAATTAGAAGATAAAATGTAATAGTAATCATTAATTATAAATTATGATTAAATTTAGTGCTAGTTTTTATTAAATGTATAATTAATCTTGTCATGTTTTAAAATTAATAGTTGATTTTCTAACCTTGTATTTTTTTTTTTAATTTAGAGGAGTCTAATTCTTTAATTTAATAATAAGCTAGTAACTCATAATAAAATAATAATTATTTTTTGAGAAAAATATAAAAAAAAATAATCATAAAGTAAAAAAATAAATATATTATCACATTATTAGATAACATCAATTGACATGAACAAGTTTATTGAGTAAAGTTTTGTAATTTATAATAATATTTATATTTTTAATTTCTCAATATTATTAAATATATTTATAAAATTAATTATATTTTTTAATTAAAATATTATATTAAATTTTGATAAAAGTATATTAAACTAATTTTTATTAAAAACATATTAAAATTAAAGTAATATAATAATAAAGTAATGTATTTTTTTAAAATACTATATTTTAAAATTTTTAAATTCATCACATATTTTTTTTATCATTTATCTATAATTTTGTACGAAAATAAATTTTAATTATAATAAGTAAATTTAGTATATGTAAAATATTTGATATATTTTGTTTTAATATTAATTTTAATATATTTTATTAAATTTTAATCTAATATTTGTAATTATAAAAATAAAAAATAATGAATGAGGAAAAAAATATAAGAAACTGAATAAAAAAAATAGCGATAAAAGAAAATAATGATTCATTTATGAGAGAATTTTAATTTTTATTATATACCGTATAAATAATAAATATTATGATTATTCAAAATGCCATATATAAAATAAAATAAAATAAAAAATAAAATATTTAGATAAATAATAAAAACATTAATATTGATGTAAATAATATTTAAAAAAATAATATGACTAATATTAGATAAAAAGTATTTACGTACTCTTAATTTAAGTGATAAGAAACAAATAAACGTTAAAAAAACATTTTTAGTGATCCCAAAGCAAAAGTTACAAACTTTTCAGTACACTTCTCAGCAAAGCTGGTTTAAAATAATTTAATTGAGACAAACGTGAAAATTAGATACTCAAACAAGTAAATTTGAGAGATTGAAGTCTAAATGAATTACCTAAACGAAGTAAAAAAATAAAATTACAAAATAATACTGATTTTTTAAGAATCATAACTTATTTGTTTAAAATATTTTTTTATTGACTACAAAACTGAAATTTGATATTTTTTAAATAATTTTTTAACAAAACTGGTTTAAGATAATTTGATTTTAAAATTGTGAAAAATATACACTAAAGCGAAACAATTTTGATTTCATGCAATCAATTTTAGACTTTATATCACTTGGACAAAATAAAAAAAAATGACAAAAATAATATTAACTTCAAGATTCACAACTTATTTGTAATTAGTTATTATATTATTGATATTTCTTATATGTGGACTTTGTACACTTAGAATCTCCATGATACATCACTTAGCACAAGTTCAATTAGGTACGAAACTTTATAAACCTATTCCTTACTTTTTAGACACCACGTCTCATAAACCTTAAGCCCCTTTATGTTTCATAGAGTTTCAAAATCGCACAAGTACAAAATCAGAGATTAATTTTTATTGATCTAACTAGGTTAAAGTAAAAACATTTAGGTTTTTGCATTTCGAATACAAAATTAATAATTGTTTTTTTTTTGCAAAACATTTATCATACATATAAATAAAACAGACAACAAAGTAAAAACATAATTATAAAATAACAATACAAAACATTATTTCATAAATAGTCTTAATTAACTATTGACTATTTTTGTACTTAGAAGTTTTGTTTAATAAGAAAAATGTTAGCTACTAATGTTGTCCTACCTATATCAACTTCACCACAAGGATTACAACTTTTCACTGTTAAGCATGATGAAAATTAATAATTTTAAACTTTAAATACTAATGTATAATGAACTGTACAATAATATTTTAAATAAATTATTTATTTATTTTGGACATACGTGTTAAAAAAAGGTAGAATATAGGTATTGAACATATATTTTCTCTCTATATATATTAAAAAAAATTGTAATTCACAAATATAAAATTTAATCATAATAATGTCTCATATTAAACTATTTTAATTATTTATTTACCCAATAAAAAATATAAACCCCCTGTGAAACTAATGTTTTATTAAACAAATAAAAGATAAAATCTACAAATATTTTCATTAGTTAGTTGATATATATATATATATATATATATATATATATTGATGTAAAAAATATTACTTTTGATTTCAGATAAATTATTAAATTAAGAAAAATAATAATGATATGATCAATATAATATATAAATGTAAGAAATATTTGTTATTATTTTAATATAATTATTATTTAAACTTAAAAATAAATACTAAATACATATAAGATATATACTATATTATATTATATATAAGTACAACTACTCTCACTTTATAAGCATATAAAATAACAATTCTATAAAAAATTACCATAAAAATAATTAAAATATAGTTTTTTCTTGTAATAATTAAGTATGAAATTATTAAAATAGGTAACGATAAATTATGATTTTTTTTCAAATAATGATATATAATTAAAATATAATTTTTTCTTGTAATAATTAAGTATGAAATTATTAAAATAGGTAACGATAAATTATGATTTTTTTTTTCAAATAATGATATATAAGTACATTATTAAAATACTGAATAACAATTAGTTATTAAAAAAGTCGTTTTTTTATTTTTTTTGATATTGATATTTAATATGGTAACAAAATTATATTTTTAAATTATTATTGTTATTGATAAAAATGTTAAAATCATGAACCTTTGTTAATAAAATGAATATATGTTGTTATGGCAGTTTAAAACTTTTTTTCAGAATTTCAAGAGTAGGAACGATTTTATTTTTTATTTTTTTAAGATCTGAATGGGCAATTGGAAGTCATAAAAACACAAAACCCTCGAGCTTGTTCCTTAAACCCTAACGAACTGTCGTTGAACCAGAGTAGGGTCAGTTTCTCAATGGAATCCCTCCGATTGAAAACCAACTACCGCTGCTTCCCCGCTATGCAGCAGTTCTACACCGGCGGCCCCTTCGTCGTCTCATCGGACAACTCCTTCATCGTCTGCGCCTGCGGCGAGTCAATCAAAATCGTCGACTCTGCCACCGCCGCCATCCGGTCCTCACTCGACGCCGACTCCGAGTCCATCACAGCCTTGGCTCTCAGCCCTGACGACCGCCTCCTCTTCTCTTCTAGCCACAGCCGCCAAATCAGAGTCTGGGATTTGTCCACACTCAAGTGTGTCCGCTCCTGGAAGGTACCGCACAGTATAATTCTTGTTCTCTTCACCACTGTTTGTTTTGGTGCAATTATGTATGTTTGCTAATGTTTCGTTGGGCTTAGGGCCACGATGGCCCGGTTATGTGCATGACGTGTCATCCTTCTGGAGGGTTGCTCGCTACTGGTGGAGCTGATAGGAAGGTTCTGGTGTGGGACGTGGACGGTGGTTACTGCACTCATTACTTTAAAGGTCACGGTGGAGTAGTTTCATGTATTATGTTCCATCCCGATCCTGAGAAACAACTGGTGAGTATTGTGCTTAATGCTTTTTATACGATTGGGTTCTATTAGTGAGCATTTTATGATTCAATGTTTATAGAAACTGTCATCTAATTTTTTCCAAATTAGAGATGCACAAGTTGAGTACTGATCCAAGTTTTTTTATTCGATTATGTCTTTGGTGCAAAATTTTATAAAATATTTTATAAAGAAGCATAATCAGTAAACAGTGAGGCATTGGTCCATATCCTATTAATTCAGAACTATGATATCACAATTTACAAAAAGATGTTTTACAAGAAGTCAATAACTTTTGTCTTTATGATAACCTGTCTCGGCTGGCTTTATCAATAAAAGCAACACCGATAGAATTCAAAACAGTTGGTAGAACACAAATCGAGTAGTAGTGACTCTACACAATAGCCTATAATTCATAAACTTCATACTAAACTATTTTCCAATAATGATTCTATATCCTCTCCTTCGTTATCATCATTCAAAAAAAGCATAACTTCGAAGTTTGATTCATCAACAAGCAATTTTGTTGATTCCGGAAGTTCAACATTATCATCATTTGGACCGTACTCCACTAATGTTCCACATTGATTCTCTTGTTTTTATACAATTATATCCTTCATCTTTTCTGGACAAAAATGGTTGTGATGCACATAAATATATTATTAATCTCTTTCTGTATCCATTTTGTTTATCTTTAAAGGATGAATAAAGGAGTGTGCATTCCACTCCTTCGCACAATAGGGGAAGAAAATGGCTGTACAAGAAGCTTTAAATGTAAGCTTTTTGAACAATGTATCGGAGCCATATCTTAGATGAAAAATAAAAAGTCGAAAAATCAAATGAGAAAGAATATGATGCTTTTCAAACACATATCTGAGAATTAAGAAGAATGTAAAAAAAAAAAAGACTGCGTACTTTTCAGATACATATCTGGATATATCCAAGAAGTATCATTAATTGACACAGGTTTGACAACGGTATTTTTCTATTTTTGGAGTATTTGGGCCAGTGTACATTTTCATGATAGAATGATGCCTTGCTTACTACTGTCCGAACCAATTGATATGCCAGTATAGAATTAGATTGTAATCTTTGACAACTGTTATGTTAGTCAGTTGTTAATTTGTGTCAAATGAATGCCAAAGTGAACAGAGTGATGATGGTACTGATGGCAGGGGGGGAGATAACTCTCTCCTAATGGAGTTGATACAAATGAAATTATTGTTTGCTAGTAGTCCTTTGATGCAAACGTGCTTTTGTTTATCCCTACCCTGTTCCTCAATTTTAACTATTCCCATATATTGATTTTACCTTTCTGCATATAATTAACTAATCATGGTGAGGTGGGTGCCCTCAGCTTTTTTCTGGCAGTGATGATGGTGGTGATCATGCAACAGTACGGGTTTGGGATGTTTCCAAAACCAAGAAAAAGAACTGTATAGCTACATTAGATAATCATCGATCAGCAGTGACTTCTTTGGCTATATCTGAAGATGGATGGACACTTCTTAGTGGTGGAAGAGATAAGGTAGGCTCTACAAGTCTCTATCTTACTTTTTGTTAATTGACTATTTTAAATTAATTTAATCTACTACATTGACAAATTGTTCTGTGGGTTATTGGCAGGTTGTAACATTGTGGGATCTTCATGATTATAGCAACAAGAAGACTGTCATTACAAATGAGGCAGTTGAAGCTGTTTGTGTACTTGGTGCTGACAGTCCCTTTGCTTCATCACTGAATTCATATCAGCAAGATGGAAAAAAGCGTGGTGGTTCCCAAACATTCTATTTCGTTACAGTTGGTGAACGAGGCATTGTACGCATATGGAATTCTAAAGGGTAACATTCGAAGTTTTTTCAATTATCAGTATAAATATTTCTAATATTATGACATTTTGCATTAGTTGCGCCTAGGTTGGGTTTGTTTAAGCTTTTAAGAAAGTGACTTAAAGATAGTGTAAGAAGTGATTTATTTTTAAAAGATTTATGTGAAGCAGAAATTATATTTTGATAGGTTACAATTATAAGCTTACGTTTTATTTTGAGAATATGAAATTTTAGATTTAGATTTTTTAGAAAATTGAAATAAACCGACTTAAATTATGTGAAAATTATTTTTGTAAATAAAAAAAATCAATGGAACATGTTTAGATAGTTTTATTTTAACAGAAATTTGGGGTTTGTCACTGTATATAGTTATGGGCAAGCTTGTAAATAATTTTACACTTAAATTTATGACTTGTGATGGAATCTGGCTCTTTAGGCCTTTTGTTTTCTTTTTCTTATTGACAGGGCAGGTTGCATCTATGAGCAGAAGGCTTCAGATGTTACAGCAAGCATAGACGAGGATAGCTCACGTAGGGGTTTCACTTCTGCTGTTATGCTTCCCTCAGATCAAGGATTGCTTTGTGTGACTGCAGATCAGCAGTTTCTGTTTTACTCTCTGGAATGCACTGAACAGTTGTTACAATTAAATCTAACCAAAAGGCTTGTGGGATATAATGAAGAAATTGTGGATATGAAGTTTATGGGGGATGATGAAAAATTCCTTGCTCTTGCTACAAATCTTGAACAGGTATGTGGATGTTCATTTTTATCTAGAAATTAGTAAACTGTTGTGATTCAACTAGAGTTTGACACTTTAGCAACCTGGTCAGTTTGAACATATGTATACTTAGAAAAGCTAAATTTTTCTTGACTGCAGGATGTTGTTTTTGTTTAGTTCACAGTTTTATGATGTTTGCTCCTGTTACATCCCCTAATTAACTGTAATTTGTGAGAATATAAGCAATTTTAGAAGTTTTCTATCGGGGATGAGATTTCATTTGAAAAGATTTTTCATTTTGTTATTAATTACATCAACTATGTAAATAAGTCCATTCTGATATCTTTAATTCACAAAGAGAATGAGTAATAGTTGTGTCTATGATAAGTTTCCAATGTTATTTATGCTTTTGGTATGCAGTGACATGAAGAGCTCATTAATTTTATGAATATCACATGTTTACAGCAGGAATGATTAAAAAACTTTTGTTAGGGTGTTAAGAGTGTCTATTTCCAATTTTGCTTTTCTCATAAGAGCATTTTACATATTTTAACTCTATGTAAATGTTATCTAATTGTAGCTTCTTAGTGAATCTAAATTAAGTGATTCAACAAATGTTTGGTAAGATATTTTCGTATTAAATCATATCATATCATATCTCCCTATTGAATATAGTTTAATCATATCTCTAATATGATCAAATCATAAACAATTTTAATTCCATGACAATACAATCACGAACTCAATAATAAAGTAACATGTCAAGTAGTTCATTACTACTACAAAAGGAGAAATGTCATTAAAATGTCTGTTTCCAACTCGCATTACCTTTAGTTGAATTTGATCCCATTCCCAAACATATTATACAAAAGTGATAGTAGGAAGTACAAAAGATAAATAAAAAACCTATGAATTTTAGTTTCAATTTAAAGGTCTATTGCAATACAACCAATTGTCACATTACATTCCAATTGTAATTTATATGATCAAATGCATACCTTAAACTAAAAATTGGGGCTTCAAATCGTGCAAAGAGAATGGAAGAATGGAGCTTCAAGAAATTCATAAACTTCAACATTGCAAGAAGATTGTCGTTGCTTGCTTGAGCCTTGATGCTAAGAACTAACAGTGAACAAAGAAGGGATGTGATGTATTTATTGATGAATATAGGTGTCAGAGATGTATTATGTTTGGGGTCTGGTTAACTTATATTTATATGGCACTGAATTGCATATAAATAACAATATAGCTGGATATTTATTGCATATTTACTTTTTGGTGATATGTATGTTACTCTTTTAAATACCTTTGGTATGATTATTATTATATAATATCTTTATTTGCTTAGCAAAATAAAACACCTGCTAATGCTTGATAAACATAAAATTTTCAGCATTTGATTCTCCAACTTTCAATTGGTTGCATGTCTCATTTTTAATTTTAGCAATGGTCTTTAAATGCAAACCTACTGGAGCTTTGCAGGTTCGGGTTTATGATGTTGCTTCTATGTCATGTTCATATGTCTTATCTGGTCACACTGAAATTGTTCTATGCCTTGACACCTGTGTATCAACTTCTGGGAGAACACTGATTGTAAGTGGAAGTAAAGACAACAGTGTAAGTTTTCTCCCCTTTGATCTCAAGATTGCTGAAAAGGATTTAAATTTTCTTTTATGGGATAAAGGGCTTGAGGTGCTTCAGTACGTGTTAACAACAGGTGCCCTATGAAGTTCAGCGTATGTTTGTAGTGCACTGTGTTAAAGTCTTATAAGTTATATGTAGTGGTGAGTAAATAAAAACGAATGTCTGCTTGTCAAACAGGTTAGGTTGTGGGGATCAGAAAGTGCAAACTGCATTGGAGTTGGTATAGGTCATATGGGAGCTGTTGGAGCTATTGCCTTTTCAAAAAGAAAGCGAGATTTCTTTGTTAGTGGCAGTAGGTGAGTATTGATGCGTTTATACCTATTTTACTCTAAATAGCAAGTATTTATCCTTTTTTTTTTGGTTCTCTGCAAGTTCCTGGATTTTGGATTCCATTTATCTGGGTTTTTCTTTTGTTTTGCTAGAACGTTAAAGTTATAAAAGGAGAAAAAATACCATGCGATTTTACACTGACATCCAGTCACCGTGTATGATATGTTTTTGACTTTTTCTACAACTACCTTAGTAGTTATACCAACAATGATCTGTGACTGTAGATAGTGTTAAAAACTGTTTTCCACTGTCAGTGCATAACCATTAAACTAACATGAAATGTGATATTCCAATTTCTTAAGTGATATGTTACAAGGATGGAAGACAATAAGTAACCTTATCTGTTTTGCAATTCCCATGATAACACTTGATTCAAACCAATTGGATTATTCTGCAGCAGTATAAATCAGTTAAAAATTTTGTGGTTTACTTTCTGTGTGGTGTTTCTCTTTCTTCTAAATATGGTAGAAGTTGAGTCAAGACGCAAGCAAATTTTCAATGGTTACCAGTAAAATTTAATTCACCTTGTTTTATCATTGGAATCAATATCAGAAATTTTGTGCTAAATTTAATCTCCTGTTCCTTCCCTTTTTGAGTTCAGTGAATCATGCAAGACAATATGATTGTTTTTTCAGTGATCATACTCTTAAGGTATGGAGTATGGATGGTCTCTCAGACAATATGACAGCTCCAATTAATTTAAAAGCAAAAGCTGTTGTTGCAGCTCATGATAAAGATATCAATTCCGTAGCAGTTGCTCCAAATGATAGTTTAGTCTGTAGTGGCTCTCAGGTTGGTAATTAAATCGGACTTGCTGCTTACTTTAGGCTATTAAATCGAGTATTCTAATTATTTGCAGAATAAAGAACTGCCAGTTTAGTTGTCTATTTCTAAGAATAGTCACTATCTACTTACACTGGCTACATTCCTTTCTTATTTACTTTATCAAATATTAGCGGTTTGACTGTAACTATCATTATGATTATGTTTTACTTGTATCCCATCAGGATCGAACAGCTTGTGTTTGGAGGCTCCCAGATCTTGTATCAGTAGTTGTGTTTAAAGGGCATAAAAGGGGAATTTGGTCTGTAGAATTTTCTCCTGTCGATCAGTGTGTAGTAACAGCATCTGGTGACAAGACAATAAGGATATGGGCTATATCTGATGGCTCCTGTTTGAAGACATTTGAAGGACACACATCAAGTGTGTTAAGAGCATTGTTTATTACTCGTGGAACACAAATTGTTTCCTGTGGTATGAGGCAATCAATTGCGGATTTTCTTTATAATATTTTGACTGTTAGCGTTATAAACATAATTAATTTTTCAGGTGCTGATGGTTTAGTAAAGCTGTGGACTGTAAAAACTAATGAATGTGTTGCTACTTATGATCATCATGAAGACAAGGTGCCAATCGATCCTTAAATATTCTAAACACCGTTTTTTTTTTTTTTTTGAAAAATAAAAAGATTTAAATTCACAAAGGTTTATTTGCCCTTTTCTTTTGCTGACAGAATATAACATGCAGGTTTGGGCCTTGGCTGTAGGCAAGAAAACAGAAATACTTGCAACTGGTGGTGGTGATGCTGTTGTTAATTTATGGTTTGATTCCACTGCAGCTGACAAAGAAGAAGCTTTCCGTAAAGAGGTGAGTTAAACCAATCATTCAATATTGATACCCTCATATCCTGAAAGTTAAATCAAAGGTTATGTTTCATGGTTCTTCATGATATAATTATTGTGAATATCTAATTATTCCTCATTACATAATGCGTCACTTTTTATGTTACTCTTTCTATGTATTGAATACAAAAATGAAGGACCAAGAACAGTCACAATCTTGGAAATCATCTGAAAGAAATATCTCAGTAAAAATCATTAGGTCTGTTGATTGGTTGTTAGGGATTTGTGCATTTTGCTCATGACTTTTGCTAATGTAAACTGTTTTGCAAAATGAGTAATATTAGGAGTTTATGATGTTCTTAAATTTTAATTGAAAATAAACTGCATTACCTTAATGATATATTTAATTAGATTATGAAAGTTGTTTGTTTGTACTTTTTGTTGCAAGATTGAAATCATAGTATACTTTTGTAACGAAGTGGTTAAGGATGGTCTAGGGTTTGGATGTTTGCTTTTCTGAATATTGTGGTTCTTATTAATGATTTTAATTTTCACCGTAACTTAAGTTTGTTTTACAATGTTTATTGTATAGTTTCATAACTGATATAAAATTACATGCACATTAAGTGTATGTTTGGTCCATAGATTATTATTTTGGGATTTGTGTTTTTTAAAAGTTCTCTAAAGGCTGAAAACTTACTTCCTCTAACTAAGCCAAACCAAATGCTAAATCAATTGCAATGGTAAGCAACTATCCATTCAGGGTCTTTTTTTTTCTTTTTTTAATTCTATATCAATAGGATTGTCAAAATGGGTGTGTCCTGCCCTGACTTTATGGATCAAATAAAAATAAAATGCTAATCTAGTCTGACCTATATTTTAAAAAGAAACCTAATTTTTAATTTAATTTGATCCTATATTAAGATAACGAGAGTCCAGTTTGGCTTGAGATTGAAAATTTTAAAAAATTATTAATATATCTATATTCAAATAATTAACTAAAAAATATCTAAATAAAAGTAAAATATGAAAATGTATTTTTAAAATTTAAATTATATTAATATATTTTTTGTTTTAAATATAATAATTTACTATATAAATAACACCAGAAGTGATCCATTTAGTTTTAAAATAAGAGTTAAAAATTTATTCTTTATTATTATAATATCTTTTTAGTAATTTAATAATCTAAACTAGGAATTCATCTCAATCATAAGATCTTGAAATATGTGAATGGTAGAGACTTATTCTTAAAATAAATGAATCCTTTATCAAATTAATTTATAATACATATAGATTTTTTAATAAAATAATATTATTTTTATTTAAAATTTAATTATTATTATTATTTTTTAAAATTGATTGAGTCAATAAGTCACGAATTTTTGTCTAGCCTTTATTGGGTTTTTAAGGCCAGTCTATCTGATCAATTCTATTTTGACACCCATAGAGTTATAAACGGACAAAGTTGTCTACTTTGTGTTACTTCGTCATGGAGTAGTCAAGCATAAGGATATGGAGAAGAAGGGATTCAAGAAAAGTTGTCGGCCAGATCTATTTCCTATGCTCAAATGCTTGATATTGTGGGAGATTGTCCAGATATATTATTACCTGCTCCATATGTTTAATTTTAGGATTTTTTTTTGTACACACTTTAAAATCACAAGTGCCCTGTGTTAGAAAGCATTGTAATGTCTAATGTTAATGCAGGAAGAAGGAGTTCTGAAAGGGCAAGAGCTAGAGAATGCTGTCTCAGATGCGGACTATACTAAAGCAATCCAAATTGCATTTGAACTGCGCAGGCCACATAAGCTTTTTGAGTTATTTGCCGAACTTTGCAGGTTAGCAACAATTTATTAGGTTACGTGCATCTTTTTGGCATACAATTTAACAGCAGAGCAACCCACTTTGGCCCATATAGCAGATGAGCAGGCATAGAACAATTGTAGCTTCTAGAATATAATGAGCTGTAAATACGGTATCATTTTATTCTATTAGGTCATATATGTATGCACGCAGTGTGTAACTTTAAAATACACGCAGAAACATTCATTCTTCTGTCACCATTGTTGTGCCACATAGGCCCTGTTTTCTACTCCTCTTTTATTTAGTTCTCTTTTAGACGTGACTGATATTTCTGCAGGAAGAGAGAGGCTGAAGATCACATTGACAGAGCACTTAAGGGCTTGGGTGATGAAGAGCTTCGCATATTATTTAACTATGCTCGAGAATGGAATACAAAACCAAGACTCTGTTATGTTTCACAGTTTGTACTTTTCAGAGTTTTCAGCATCTTTCCTCCAACTGATATTGTTCAGGTGCGTTTTTTTAACCCCTTGTAAGTTTCAAGGCTTTGAGCATCTAATCATGCATTTCCTTCATATTATGATACTTGATGACTGAAATGCTAGGCCTGATTATTGAATATGGGTTTGTACTTCTTATAATCCTTCTTAGATTTACTTGTTTTGGCATTGTGCTACCTTTACTTTGTTATATCTCTCTGCAAGGATTTTATCCCATGTAAAATTTCTTGAAGGGATTTCAGAGTATGAGCATTTTTATGGGTTATTTCAGATTAAAGGGATTGGTGAACTTCTTGAAGGCATTATCCCATATAGTCAGAGGCATTTTGGCAGGATAGACAGACTTGTTAGAAGTACATTTTTGTTAGATTACATTCTATCAGGAATGTCAGTTATTGAACCAGAAGTTCAACCGACAGAATCAAGGACTGAGTTACTGCTGCAGTCAAATATTGACGTTCCAGACACAGAAAATGTCATCGAGGAGAAAGATCACACTTTTGAAATTACGGCTTCAAAGAAAAGGAAATCAAACAAATCAAGACATGGTTCCCATAAGAAAGTTAAGAATGTAGCTTTCAACAAGGTCGAGTCTATACAACTACAGGCATAGGATCGGTATACATAATGCTAATTGATCGATGGAAGAGCAGTTTTGATCCATCCAAATTTTGAAATTTTACCGTCATTTGATAATATGTAAGCTGCTTAGCTACTGTAATTGTATCAAATATTCATTCTTGAGTAGTTTAATTTTCCGGTTTTTCTCTCAAACGTGATCTAGAAATGTTTCTTCATCTGTCTAACTATAGAAAGTTATTGTGATGGAGAAACTACTAAGGCACTGCAACTACTGCGTGGAAAATGTAATTTGAAGCGATTGCAACAAATTTGACCGACAAAATTCTTGTAATGTTCGATTCCTTGATCCTAGTATTAAATTTGGTATACAAGGGAAAAATTATCATTCAGAGTATTATTTATCCTCTTTCTATATTCTGAATGTGTTACCAATAATATAAAACCGGATTTATTTGCTGTTTGGCTGTAGAACATTCCACGTCTATGTATCTTTTATGTATTTTTGCGTCTGAAACAGTATTGCTTGTACCGCTAAACAAAGATTGATATGGTCATGGTCCGTGTCCTGCTTCATCAGCATTTCAATACAGCGATTAAATGAACTAAGCATGAGGGAAGTTCAGATATATTATTGTTAAACATTGTACGCATATTTACAGATTTTATTTCTTTCGGTCGCCAGAGATCAAACCGCAAAACAAAAGGCTTTTAAAGGTCGAAAGCCTTCTATTAAAAAAAAATTACAGTTACAACTGGTAAACTTTTAGTTAAAATTCAATATTTTTAAACCCATATGAAAGTGTTTTTTATTTGAATGGTCATTTAATATGTTTCATTTTGTCATATTAATGTGACCAGTCACTTTCGTCGTCTTCTTAGTGGTTACCACTATAGTCTAAATAATTCAGTTAGCACTTAAGAGAATTTTCAAATAGATTTTTAAACTATTTATTTTAAGTTCAGTTCTTAGAATTCTTAATATTGCGATCACTTGTAATTTTGTAGTAGTTTCAAGTTATCTTCGTCTTTATTGACTTACTTTTAAGGTTTAGGGTGTAGTTCTGTGATAAGTATTTTTTATTCTAAAACCAATCACTTATTTGTGTCTGGTAATCATTTCCAATGAGTTCTGTATTGGAAAATCATATTCTGATAACTTCTTTTATCTCTCTCTCTCTCTCTCTCTCTCTCTCTCTCTCTCATATATATATATATATATATATATATATATATATTCTACCACGCATTTTAATAAGAATAATAATTGGTGTACACCTTAGATTTCGTAACCATATTATAAACATCTGCACAAAAACTAAAAAAATAGAAGAGACTTTCTTTATTTTAAATTCAAAATAAAATATACAGAATTATAGGTTTCCAATGGGTGGATGAAAGAAAAATGGATGTACATTGAATATTTTTCTTTTAATTTTATTATAATGATAAAAGTGTAAATATATATATATATATATATATATATATATATATATAATATTATATTGAATTGTATATTAATTGTCTGATTGGAACACGGAAGGACAAATACATTTTATGCTCATTTACATATAGAGAAAGATAAAAAGTAAAAGAAAAAAAATTTTTGTTAGGAACGTGTAGCACCGCCAGGAAGGGCGAGGCAGGAGTTATCAGAAAGCTTCACTTGCATTGCTATTCCATTCCAACGACATGTCTGGATCTGAGTGGGAAGTAGCAGCAGGTCAGAGGTACCGAGTGGGTTATGCTCTCAAACCAAAGAAAGTGGAAAGCTTCGTCCAACGCTCCCTCCTCGATTACGCCAAACAACGAGCCATCGATCTTGTCCAAATCGACTTCTCCACACCCTTACAACAACAAGGTCCCTTCCACTGCATCATCCACAAAGTCCACACCCCATGCTGGACCGAACACCTCCGACAATTCTCAGCCACACACCCAGACACCATAATCATCGACCCCCCCGAGTTGGTGCATCGCCTCCACAATCGAGTTTCAATGCTCGAGGTAGTCACCGACTTACAAATTCTCGATAATACCTCCGTTGGGGTTCCCCGCCAAGTGATCGTAATCAAACCCACCGATTTCGACAAAATAGAAGAACTGGGCCTGCGATTCCCCCTGATCTCAAAACCGCTGGCAGCTGACGGCGGCGCTGGCTCTCACGATATGTGCCTGGTCTTCGACCGCGACGGACTCAGGACGTTGAGCGTTCCCAGAGTGGTGCAAGAATTCGTCAATCATGGTGGGGTTGTGTTCAAGATTTACGTTGCTGGGCGGCGCGTGAATTGCGTGAAGCGCAAGTCTGTCGGTGATATATCAGAGGAGAGGCTGGGAACGTTAAAAGGGGCTCTGCCATTTTCTCGTGTATCGAACTCGGGCAAAGATCAGGGTGACGCGGTCGAGAAAGCTGAAATGCCGCCGCAGAGTTTGGTGGATGAGTTAACGAAGGCGTTGAGGGAGACCTCGGGACTTCACCTATTCAACGTTGATCTGATTAGAGATGTTAAGGAACCGACAAGGTATCTTATTATTGACATCAATTACTTTCCCGGGTATGAGAAATTGCCCTCTTATGAGCCCTTTATCACTGATTTTTTGTTGGATGTTGTGAGCGCCAAGGCTAAGTGAGTTATGAGCCTGAGGATGATCAGTGATGTTAAAACACTACCACGTAATCATTGTTGTCATGCTGTTTTTCACTTCTTCCTCTTTTTATATTTGTATGTTTCTCAAGTCATCACCAACTACAGTGTGCAGTGCCCTTAACTTAAAACCTGGTTTGCTACCATGATCTTACATGCATAGCTTTCGTTTTTGCTTGGATAACTGGATTGGTATGAATATAATTGTCCATGAAAAATGCAGAAACCTCATTGATTTTTAAGAACGATAAATGTCAGTCTCATTAATCCTTAGGGATCCATTTTTAGGGTCAAGAGATTTTTTACTCCCCCTCCACTTCGAAAGATTCATTATTAAATATTTAGGTGTATTGATATACCCACCAACTAAGAGTTGCTTCAGAATCTTATTCTATGCTTTGGCACTTCATGTATGTGCTTTATTCTACTACAGAAAAACAATCACCGTGAATTTTCATTCGTCTACAATAAAAACGAAAATAAAGTTTTTGCCATACATTGAAGAACAGTTTCCCATCCTCATGTGGCGGCTGTGATTAGCATGTCCCTCCTCTTGAGCACTTCACTTTTAATATGCATTGCAAGTTAATAAGGTCTAATTACAGATTCACTAAGATAAGAAAAGTTTATTAACAACATGCGACTCCGTGAACTGAATTTGTGAAAATATCATGCTATTTGCTTAATTTAACTGTATAAAGGAACTTCCAAACATTCGGACATGCTTTATTATTATTGTATGCGTAAACAGTTAACAGTGGACTACTAATAAATACATAACGAAAAGATAACAAATCATAACCGGCGTCTCAAACTTTTACTCCACATAACGTGAATACTCTCTAGACGACAAAAGGTCTCAAGTGACGGTGTGTTCTTTGTTGAGAAACTGATTACAAACAGACTGTTGTCTTCATCATCATTGTATACACGAATGAAATCATGCAGTGGCTAGCTTCTCTTCTGTTGCTGCCTCTCCGCTAGCAGTTGCCTTAGCACGCTTAGCTTCATAGTCTTTAACAGCCGCTTTAATGGCATCTTCAGCAAGCATGCTGCAGTGGAGCTTTACTGGTGGAAGTGAAAGATGCTTTGCAATTTCACTGCATGAAATCGACTATTTGTCGGTTCAAGATCTCATAAATTGGCCGGATGCATAATTACAGTACATATATCTAATAGAATATGCATATGATATGATTATTCTAAAATAAGACGCATCAATAAATATGCACAAAACTTCATAAAAACCTAATAAATTGCTGAATTAATTAAATTATATTTATCACGTTTGATCTCAGAATAATCATTCATCCGCAACCAATCTGCTTCAGTTTCAACTTTCCTTATACGGGTCTGGACTTACTAAATAATATGAATAATCTTAGCAATACTCAATTTCAAGTGAGTAACCAGAATTTCATATTAGATATCATTGATAAATTAAGTATGTACTGCTTCGATATTGCTAAATTCACACCCACACACACTTATAAACGTAAGCTGTCCTATTGTCTTACCCAGAAAATTAGCACAACATATATAGATAAGAATTGTATATACACACAGAGACAAATATATATTAATTTCTATCCTATCCAGTGTTATCCAATGCAACATCAAATACAAGACAGTGCTGTTATCTTAAGGCAAAATTTCAGATAATGTTATGTATACTTACGTATTTTTTATGGAAAGAACTTCCTCCATTTGCTTTCCCTTCACCCACTCAGTAGCTGAAAATATGATAGATATATCAGAAACATGTTAAATAAAAAGAGGACATTATAGAATGAATTGAACATAAAACAGAGAGCAATGTTTGTATTTGTACCAACAGATGAAGAAGCGATGGCGGAGCCACACCCAAAAGTCTTGAATCGAGCATCGACGATTTTTCCAGTTTTGTCGTCGACCTTAATCTGAAGCTTCATGACATCGCCGCACGCTGGTGCCCCCACCAAACCCGTACCCACGCTCGGGTCGTTCTTATCGAACGACCCAACATTCCGGGGATTGTCGTAATGATCCACAACCCTCTCGTGGTACAACCGCGCCGGAACCCTAACGCCTAACGACGTCGTTCCCAAAACCCTCTTTGTGCCCACTCTCAGCATCTTGATTTTCCCTTTCCCCCGACACCAAAGCCAAGAAAATTGGAAAGAAATAAAAAATAATTCACCTTTTTATTCTGATGATATAAATTAATCAAAATTATGTGGATATGGGCTAGTAGGCCAGTTTGCGAATTGCATAGAATTTTTGTTGGGGTTACGCTGATTGCATAATTGACTGGGCTTATTATAATTACATAATGGGCTGGTCTCTCCCATTTTCGTAATGTTAACAAGCATAGAATTTTTTTACATCTTGGTGTTAAAATTATTTATTGTTGATTTTAGATTACATTGGCCAAATGTTTGATATTTAAACATTATCATGACTAATGCTTAGTCCCTATAGATTTAACACCACTATTTTGTTGTTCGTGCATGCATGTGTGATTAGTATTCTTTTTCTAAATTATGAATTTTCTATAGCACGAGAAGATCATCAAAATTATTAAAAAACTTCAGAATAAATTATTATAACCATCTTGGGTATGAGTGTATTAGGTACTTGTGCTGATCATCACCTGACTTTTATTATTTTCAAAAGTTACTTTTTGAAGATGTTCATAAATTACCATAGATAAATTTCAATTACAGGATTACATTATTTTAGGATACGTTTCTATATTTTTATATTAAAATCAGTGTTGCTAGAGGAACCTTTATGGCTTGAAATTTAGGCCAAAGAGGGGAATTGAATCCCATACCAATCCTCCATATTTGATTGGATTGGAGAATACAGGAATCAATGGATTTGTGTCAAGTGAATGTCAAAGTGAACAGAGTGATTGATGATGGTACTGATAGCAGTGGGAGATAACTCTCTCCTAATGGAGTTGATACAAATGAAATTATTGTTTGCTAGTAGTCCTTTAGATGCAAATGTGATTTTGTTTGTCCCTACCCTATTCCTCAATTTTAACTATTCCCATATATAGATTTTACCTTTCTTCATATATTTAACCAATCATGGTGAGGTTGGTGCCCTCAGGTTTTTTGTGGCAGTGAAGATGGTGGTGATCATGCAACAGTAAGGGTTTGGGATGTTTCCAAAACCAGGAAAAAGAACTGTGTAGCTACATTAGATAATCATCGATCAACAGGGACTTCTTTGGCAATATCTGAAGACGGATGGACACTACTTAGTGGTGGAAGAGATAAGGTAGGCTCTACATTAATCTACTAAATTGACAAATTGTTCTGTGGGTTATTGGCAGGTTGTAACATTGTGGGATCTTCATGGTTATAGCAACAAGAAGACTGTCATTACATATGAGGCAGTTGAAGCTGTTTGTGTAATTGGTGCTCACAAGTGATTCATACCTGCACGATGCAAAAAAACGTACGGTACGGGTTCACTTCTGCTGTTATGCTTCCCTAAGATCAAGGATTGCTTTGTGTGACTGCAGATCAGCAGTTTCTGTTTTACTCTCTGGAATGCACTGAACAGTTGTTACAATTAAATCTAACCAAATGGCTTGTGGGATATAATGAAGAAACTGTGGATATGAAGTTTAAGGGGATGATGAAAAATTACTTGCTCTAGCTGCAAATCTGTCAACAGTGATGAAAGTAGTCTGGTAGTATAAAATATTGATTTTTTTTTTAATAAATTAGTTAATCCATATCAAAGATATAATTATATGAATATACTCATCAATTATTAAACACCATTCTTTTTAAAGACAATAAAAAATGGATTGATAATAATAAAACAAAAGAGAAAAAAATTAATGTAAAATAACAAAAATTAAAATAAAATTGAAGTAAAATAATTTAAATTTTATAAATATAAAATTGAATGTTTTTAATTAAATTCTAAATGTGTCGAAATAAAATACAATATCAAAATTTGTTTTTAATTAAAACGAAGAGTGTGGTATCAATTAAATTCAAACTTTCCGAAATATATATACCTACATTTAAATTGAAAATTAAACGTAGAACTAAGCAATAAAAAAAGAAAACAGGGAGATGAATGTACTATTAAGATAAATAAAACAAATGGATTAAAGAATTGCATGGGCTAATCTAATCGGAAGGATAAATGCACGCGGATTCTAACATTTAAAAAGAAAAAACAAAGAAAACAAATGGATGCATGCATGTTGGAGAAATTGTGTTTGTGAGCGACTTTTGAGAAATTGCAAATTAATAAAGTGAAATTGTGAACAGATAAGAAAATAGACGAATTGAACTAAATACTAAAATTAAATAAAATTGATAAAGAGACCATGAGATGATTAATAAAAAAAATTGAGATGTGGTTACCTTGAATTATTTTTCGGGTCCATCTAACTAAACTTATTTTGACAACCCTAACCCTAATTAATAGGACTTTTATTTGACTTAGTAGGACTAGGCAAGAATATGTTAAGATAGGAAAATAAATAAAAAATAGATCAATGTATTATGAGTATTGTCACTTTTATATTGGAATGTTCGTAGAGTTGTTTTATTATTTTGTAATACTCGTTTTTTTAATAATATAATATTTTGATATTTTTCCTTCTTTTTTTTTTGACATTGTTGGTGATGAGTAGAATTAGATTTTTTTATGAGTAGAATTAGATTTTTTTATTTATTTTATGATTTCAAACTCTTTACTTCCTTTTTAAGTTTGGGTGCGAATAATTTTTATATTAGAAAGACTTTAATTCTTAGGTTTTAATCCAAAAAAAGATTAAGGCTCAAATGTAGGTTCAAAGGGTAATTTAAATTAAAGGTAAGTTATTTGGCTAAGTAATTAAGAAAAAAAAGGCTTAAATAATTTCTAATGGTGTATATGTTCGTATAGTGTCGAAGAGAATTAACCAAGTTTTGAAAGGTTTTTATGTCATGAGTGGTACACACAAGAAGGAATAAGGTTCAAAACTCACGTACGTACTTTGCTCAACCTGAAATTGATCCAAACCAATATTAATGTAACCTGGTCATGACTTTCTATGTGAACCAAACATTTTATACTTTGAACTCTTTCTTCTGATCAAGTCAATCATCTTTTCCAAAGTAGTTCTCATTAATTTACAAAATTACACACCAGTTAAAACAAAATATGAATGAATGAAATGCAAATACTCTCCATTTTTCAAGTCAACATGGTTCTCTATGTGGAGAATTCATGTTAAGCAAATGCAAAAATAAACGAGCTAAAATAGCTTGGATCCCGAGTCTATCTCTTCAGGTGGTACAAGTGCCGAGATCATCAAGAAGCAACTTGGCTCAGTTGGTGGGAGGGATTGATTCTTGTCCCTTTATGATAAAACAATACAACATAGTTGGATGTATCGCACATCAACTCAAATGAACGATCAATTCTGCAGTGGTCTCTTTACAAATTGTGCAACTTTCATCCGTACATTCACATTCAATAAACTCCTCTTAACTTAAATTCAAATATTCTAAGAATTGATCAAGGTTAGAATAAACTCCTAGTTCTAACTCTTCATCTACCCGACCTTCAATTAAGTAGGTGTCCTTTAAGAATAACTCTTCCTTATTGGACAAAGAGTGAGTCTCAATTAGGTCTCTCATGGCCTCAAAAATGTTGAACTTCATGATTTCCTCCCGAAACTCCATTATTCGCGTACCAATGGTAGTCATCAAGAATGACCTTTCTATAATTAATGTTGACTTGTGCAAAGGGCCTTCATCATGCATGTCCATGACATAAAAGTTTGCTAAAAGAGTAGCTAGTTTACTTTGATGAGTACATCCACGGGTACTCTTAACGGATTGGTTGAGTGCATGTCATGGATGATGACTATCATGCACTGCTCTAACTATAAATTTGGACCTCCGAGAAGAATGAAACTCAATTATACATAATATTTGCTATGAATTTGATCATTTATTTCTATCAATTTAGCCCATTTCAAATTATCTTTTTCTTAAAAAAAATATGTATTATAGATATAAAAATGTTTGTTTTAATGCTAAAATTAGGCAAAATGTAACAAATTGAATAAAATTGAATTATACTCTAATTTTCATGAAAACATATTAAATACATGATTTATAAAAAAATAATTAACTTAAAAATATTCTTAAATAAAAATAAAAAGTAAAATGATATATATCAAATAATTACATATTCATTTTTATCGACAAATTAGTATGACTTTAGCAACCTGATCAGTTTGAACTTATGTATAATGAGTAAAGCTAAATTTTTCTTGACTGCATGATGTTGCTTTTGTTTAGTTCATAGTTTTATGATGTTTACTCTTGTTACATCCCTTAATTCAATGTAATTTGTGAGAATATAAGCTATTTATAAATAAAAAATTTGGGGATGAGATTTCATTTGAAGAGATTTTTCATTTTGTTATTAATTACATCAACTATGTAAATGAGTCCATTCTGATATCTTTAATTCACAGAGAGAATGAGTTATAGTTGTCTCTATGATAATTTTCCAATGCCATCTATGCTTTTGGTATGCAATGACATGAAAAACCTATTAGTTTTTAACTTTTTTTTTAATGAATATCAAATGTCTACAGCAGGAATGATTAAAAAAACTTTTGTTGGGGTGTTTGGAATGTCCATTTCCAATTTTGCTTTTCTCGTTAGAAAATTTTACATATTTTAGCTTATTAGTGAATCTAAATTAAGTAATTCAACAAATAATTGGAAAAGATAAGAAAAAAAATCTTAGTCATTACTATGTTGCAAAGACTTGCATAATCACAAAAGCAAAACATCCCCTAATTTTTTTAAACAATATCAAAAAGAAAATATGAAACATTAACACATTGCATAATCAATCATTATTTATTTATAGATATTTTAATAATATTTTATAAGCAAACTCTTACGAGTTTACTAACCTCTCGGGAGTTTACCTAAACTCTTGAGTTTAACAATTTTGCACAAAATGCATTTAATAGCAAAGACATTACTAAAGGTGGCTTCCCCAAAATGAGTGGATCATCATCATGTTGTAGGAGGTCAATCTCTACCTTATCCCTCCCCTATGTCTTGTAAGGAACACACTCAATAATTAATAATGGAAAATATTTGGTAAGATATTTCGTATTATATCATATCATATCTCCTTATCCAATGTAGTTGAATCATATCTCTTACAATTTTAATTCCATAATACAACAATCGCGAACTCAATAATAAAGTAACATGTCAAGTAGTTCATTACTACTAAAAATGGAGAAATATCTACAAATGTCTGCTTCCAAGATCATTAACACTAGTTGAGGAGGCACTTGCATTGCCCTTAGTTGAATTTGATCCCACTCCCAAACATATTATACAAAAGTGATAGTAGGAATTGCAAAAGATAAATATAAAAGTATGAATTTAAGTTTCAATTCAAATATCTATTGCAATAACAACCAATTATCACACTACATTCCAGTTTTAGTTTACATGTGCACATGCATACCTTAAACTAAAAAATGGAGCTTCAAATTGTGCAAAGAGAATGGAATGTTGGGTAATCTAAGTGTGAGTTAAGTCCCACATTGGAGGAGGAGATTGTTGGGTAATCCAAATGTGAGTTAAGTCCCACATTGAGTAAAAATAAAAAAGTTGAGTAATATATAAAAAAGTATGACCCATAACCTAATGTCTTAAGGTTTTGGGTTGACAGTGACGTCAATCGCTTATGTGGGTTGGACTCTTGTCTCATTGATATGTTTCTCTCTTGTGAACCCCTTGAAAGACCCAACATGGAAGAATGGAGCTTCAAGAAATTTACAAACCACAACATTGCAAGGAGAAGATTGTCGTCGCTTGCTTGAGCCTCAATGCAAAGAACAAATTCTAAACAAATAAGGTATATGAGATGGAAGTCGCCGCCAACAATATGGTTGCTGTCACCTACAAAGATCTGTGTCGTGATGAGAATAGTAGCTTCATCACTAGCTACAAAGAGAAACAACACATGGATGAGTGTCATGGAGAATCCTAATCATGGGTCTTCTCCTTTCTTCCATTTTCACATGCCAAAACTTGCAAGTTTGGTCCAGTTCTTTCAAGTCATCCATGAGCACCCAAAAATGATTCTACAAATGAGTTAACATGAAACCAGATAATGGAGTCATAAACTTTGTCTTTATGGGTGAAAGCTCGAGTTCAATAGCCATGATGTTGAGGTGGTTGAACTTGTGTGCAAACTTAAGAGTAACCTTTTTTGAATTGAGTTTGGAGTTATTGGGTTGTATCAGAAAAATAAAAACAGAATTGAAAATAGAGAAGGTTTGTTATTCTTAATACACTCAATGAGATACATGCTTTCCTTATATATAAGGAAGATACAGCTGTACAACTTAGCAAATATTATAACAACCTAACA